GGGACCACGAATTATAAATTAAGTCTAACGTATGTCCAAGGCTATTCTTGTCCTGTCCTTGATGGAAACTCTTTGAAGGTCACAGCAGGAAGCCCTAGGACTAATGACTGCTGTGGTGATCACAGGGGAAGATAACACCTGCTGAAGACTCCTGGGGAAATTACAGTTCCTTACTGCCCCTGTCTCATTTTTGTCCTTGTCCTCGCAAGAATGCTTTGTCCTGCAAGAATGATTTGTTCTTACTAGCCCACTGTAGTCGCATTACTGTTCCTAGAAACACCCACTGCCCTTCATTCATTGTCCTTGACTCAGATATATGAATAAATACCAAGGTTCTGGGTAGCTTGTGGTGCTTTGACCCAAGAACACCTGGTCATCCAAGATCCCTGCCTGCATCCCTAATTTGTCTCTTGCTCTTTTTTTTTCCCCACTGTACACTGTAACTCTGGGCAGGAGATTGGAACCCACTGCAAGGGTCCCTGATAACTGGCATGGTGGAAGGGTTCCAATAGTTACACCATATGGAAATCTTTTTGAATGCCTTTTTAAAAGTTAGGTTCTATGTACCTCATCTAAAAATTAAAAGATATACTTTGAAGCCCTAATAACAGTATCTTCCTACTGATAACATTGATTCTTTCCTTCCTTCTTGATCTTTAACTTCCCACTTTCTAGAACTGTGAGCAATAAATTCTGGTTCTTTATAAATTACACAGTCTAAGATATTTTATTATAGTTCCCTGAATTGACTAAGTCTATATTCACATGGCCTCTCAGGGTCAACAGCATCACTGAGGTCCTTTAGTTTGACATATCCGGTATTTTTTATCTTTTTTTTTTTTTTTTTCCTCTGGTACCAGGAACCGAACTCACGACCTTGCACTTGCCAGGCAGGCGCTTTTGCCGCTGAGCTAAATCCCCAGCCCCGTCCGGTATTTTTTAAAACTTCTACAAGTGATTATAAAGTTCTATTGATTATATCTGGCATATAATTCAATCATTTCTCCCCCACTTACCAATGTTAAAAACATATTTAATACTGAGCACTTACATATATCAGTTAGTATTTGATATGCAATTCAACAAAATTTTATTGGGTTAAAAAAAAAAATGATCTTTTTGTGCTGTGCTCAGCTCAATACTTATACTGTTGTTGCTGTGGATCCTAAGTGAGATCTTACCTACCTGTTCCCTTGACTGAGGCTGGTTTCTTGTGTGGTGGTTTGTAGTGGCTCTTGGATAGGCCATGCATATACATGAGGCAAGCCCCAGATTTTCAAATGATGACAATATTTCAAAAGGCAAGCTTTACTGGATAAATGCTTTTCATAACTGTATTTGTATGCCATTTACTGATACAGCAAGTCCCTGACTTTATAAACGAGTTCCATTCCAGAAGAACATTCATAAGTTGGATTCTTTCCTAAGTCCAACAAAATGAGTTCTGTACCCTTTTGACACAAATATGCAATGTATATTACTTTGTACTTCTTAGCAG